GTTTAGTTGTTAACCAGCAGCAATTTACCTAATCCTGGTAGGCGCCTTCCTGATTTCTTCTCCCACTCAGACATCAACATAATAGTCCTAATGGCTGCATCCTGGCGTGGAGATAATACACTAACCAAAGGTCCTTTGACATGAAAGAATGACTATAAGTCAGTCATCTTATCCTATAAATATGGGGGCAGCCTGTATTTGTTGTTTGTTTGCTTGTTTTCTGTTACAGCTTTCTCTACCGGCAGATAGCACTACTAGAACACATTTTAATAACCAGAACTAATAACTAGTATTCAGTTTTATCAAGTATTAAAAAGTCAGTTTTCAATTATTTATTTCTTCCATAAAAATCACTCTGTCCTATCTAGAGCTAAACATGAAACTGAGAAAGAATTCAAGGAACTTGAATAAACATAAAATAAAACAAAGCAAAACAAAACAAAACATTATAATATCTGACCATCTTATTTGTTTGCATAGTTTATTTCACAAACAATATCACCATCACTTTACAGATTTGTCAGCAAAGCAGAGAGATAAGAATAGAGAGGAATGATCATGAAGCCAATGGAAGGACTGTGGAAAAGCTAATTATCAACAAATTATCAAAAAAAAAAAAAAAAAAAAAAGCTTGATGTCACATTCAGACATTTCAGTAAATTTTCAAGTCAACACAATATTGGTATAACTTTTGTGCAAGACAGGACATTTTTATTTGTTTATTTATTTAATTTTAATTATTTGGATTTCTAATGAAAATGCGATTCTGTTCTAATAACAATGTGATTCTGAACAAGCAATACATTTCAGTGGAACTTCAATAGCTGTGCCCATTACCAGAAAAATCAAAACAACCAAATTAATTTAAAATCATTTTTATAAGAGAAGTAATATTCTGAAAAAAAATGTTTATGGTATAAAATTGTAGACATATAGCTCTTCGAATGGTTGAAATTTTCGGCACAATTAAAAGTTGTTTAATCAAGATTAAAACAAAGTGTCCTTTTCTCTGACACAGAATTGGCAAACATTTTATTTTCTCAAGGAAATACATGTATTTCTTCTTTAATTAACACTTTTAAATTATTGTATCATTTTTAACAATGTTGTATGCCCACTGCTAAAAATGATTGTTCCTGATAGCTGTTCCCAAATCATCAGTCATACACTTTTGTTCCAGTTCCATTTTCCTTTTCCCTTCTGCACTCATGCTACATAATAATATTGCCTCTTCGTTTTTTCTATCATTATTCTGACCCTTCTGACATGTCATTCTGATCAGTAGTGTGGGCAGAAAATCACTCAATACTATTTTTTTTTTTTTTTTGGTTTGCTTGCTGTATTCATTTAGCTTAGTAGGCTGAATTAATCTGTGAAGCGAACAGATGAGTGTTAGAAACACGGCAACTGAGTCCCAAAAGTAACCTGCAGCTGAGAATGCAAAGATCCTTTTTCTTCAGAGATTCTGGCATATATAGAGCCAGTAACTCACCACCAACAGAAAAGGTGTTTTAGATGTTCTTAATTGTAAAACTACAGTGTTTCAGCTGAAAGCCTACTTGGAGTGAAAGAAAAGTCAACAGGATTCTGCCAATCTTTCTTTCTTTAGAACAAACAAACAAACAAAAATCCTCCATCAACAACTAAATATTTACTTTCCATCAGCTAATTCTGAATTGTTTAGCCAATTCCCTGTGCTACAGTATTTCCCTACATATAGTAATAGCTGCAGTCATCCAGATATTATACCAATTACTTTTGGCAAAAATGTAACTAACAAAATTTGTTAAAACTAAAATATATGATTTTTTTTTCTCTCTGATGAGCAGCATTTTTCATTTGCTTCTTTGCTTATTAATCTTTTACAATGTACAGCAGCAGGATTCTTATATTATATTCCTGTGTGCTTCTGTTTATACAAAACAAATAAAAAGCATAGAATTTGAAATGTCACTATGAAAAGGAATATATATTATGGTAGAGATTGAAAAAAAAAATTCCCCAAAAGATTAAGATGACCCCACCAGTATCAATCTTTTCACAGAAAAAAAAAAAAAAAAAAAAAAGTTATTTGTAATCATGTCAGAAATATAGATCAGTCTAGATGAGGAGTTACAATGGCAAGAGTACCATTATGAATTCATTATATAAAACAACATTTTCCTGAGAGAAAAAAAAAAAAAAAATGCTGTCTTTAACTAGTCTTATTTATGTAGGTTTGCCTAAAAGTACACGTTCATCTAAAACTTTTCACTTCTATTAATTATTATCTTTATTTTTTTTTCTTCTACATACAAGATGTCTCCAGATGTTTCCTCCTTCTGCTCTTGGAAAGGCATTAGCTCTTAATTTTCATCTGTTATAAAAGTAGCTATCAGAAGTATACAAACAAACAATACATTGAAAAATTAAGTTTCTATAATCACTTAGTCTTTTACCCTAATTTATTTCATCTTTAAAAATGGTTCTCTTATTGTCCTGCAGATACTTTCAGTTCTTCAGTGCTAATTGTCTCTTCAGTTTCTCTTGCTCTATTAAACAATGTTCTTGTTCAAGACATAAACAAAACTGAGTAACTCCAGGATTATAGAACAAAATGAAACATTGTATGACAGATATGGACTTATCAGATATTCTTAAAACAAAACAAAACAACCCCTCCACACATACACACTTTTGGGAAATGTATCCACAATGCAGTGACATTAAGGCTATCCAAACATCAACTGAAAAGAGAGTGAATGCAATATTCAATAACTTTTTTCAATAATAAAATTTATAAAGAAAGATATTGTTGTCAGGAAACCATTTTAGAAAATAATGCTTTCCTTTGCAAGCTGAGTGTTATATTTATGTATTTCTCTCTTCATTGACAGCAGTTTCTTGCCACTATGTAACTGAATTTAATTTCTCAATGACAAAAGTACTCTGCCAATCGCTGTATCCCAAGCCAGTTTTCAAAGCAGACTACCTCTTTTGCAGATAGTGTGCTCAGCATTCTACCGGAAGAGCAAAATGTAAAATAGTTTTATTTCCTGTAATTTCAATAAAATTAACTGTTATTCTGTTTATTCAACATCCAGTAAATTTCTTCAACATTATAGGAACTTATTTAAAATTCTTCACCTGTTTCTCTAACATAATTTAGGTGAGATCCTGGTAAAATCAATAATGTTCTTCACCTCTCAGTCTCTTTTTACTAGTAGCCATTACTCTGAGAAATCTGTGTCCCCCTACTAATTTTTTAAGCATGAGTGTGCCTAAGTTCACATGTAATGATGTTCTAATGTGATAAAATCTCTTCAAACTACTCAGAGATTCACTCAAGCAGACTGATGTTCAAAGAGATAATAAAGTTTGGTCCTCTCTTTTCCTCAAACAAGTCTAATAAAGTTGTTTCATGATACATGATCTAAGATAGCAAGTGATAAACTTCAAGATTTGAAGTAAGCTGCCTAAGGTTTAGAAATCATTGAATTAGCACTTCCAGAATTTTATAAAGTGAGATATGACATGAGATCCCAGCCTTAGAGTAATTTAGATTTTCCATTTATTCTCATACAGGTTTTCACTAGTGCTTCCTATGATACATCATAATTAACAATCATTTCATTGTAAAGTGGAATCTGGGGGCCTTGTGAAATATAAAAGCATTTAAAAGGAGTTTTCATTCACAAAGAAATTCAGCTTGGAGGGCTGCATATGGACCCAGATTGTATTCAGTAATTGTAGCAAATTCCCTCCAAGCTTTACGCCTGAAGCAGATGGAAGCAGATTGCATGAGGAGACCAACCCTTTCAAATTACAATAGTTTATGATGCTCATCTGCATTTTAATCAGATATAAAGGATTTATTCCTGAAATACATCATGGAAGACTATTTCCATCTCCTGGAAATGCACCAGAGCCTTTATAGCCAATCAAGCAAAATATGTTGCACATTTTCACTTTGTATATCTTTCTCTCTAGAGTATGCAATATTAAATGGATATAGGTGTCAGTGATTTTATTAGCAACAATATATAATCCTATTAAAATAGGTACTAGAAGACAGTTTTTCATGCCAAATCCACTTTATTATGGATTTAATTCCTGGGCTCAACAAAAAGATGAATTTCTTATCTCATCACATAATGTTATTTTATCCAAAATACAATGGTGCAATACAATGGCAGCAGATAAAACAAATAATGTGTAGCCCAAGACTAGGAAAAACAGTGTGATATGAGGGTACAGAGAATTTAAATATGTATTGTCATATTTATGCTTGTAATCAGAGAGGGTATGAATTGGAATTAGTTTTGCTATGCACAAAGTGGAATATCAAAAGTCAAACTAATGGTAAATCAAGAATAAAAGAAATTCAATGGTCTAGAAGTCATTATATCAAACAGCATAACAGCTAATTGCTGAGTGATGTTATGAGTCAACTACAGAGAAAACAAGTTTAATTAAAGAAATATTAAGAAACTGTTTAGAAATCACATACATGGAAGAATGATCTACTATTAATGATCAGCAGAGATTTTGAATAAAGTGTACAGAATAGAGACATGTGTCCTTCACATCATAAATCTGTATCTGTCTTAATACAGACTGCAATACTGTTGATTATTATTAGTAGTAACTTTAAATAAATAGTCTTAGCTAGTGCTTACAATGCATAGAGAAAATTATTTTGCACTACAAGAAAGGGTATGAGGCCAAGGCTGGAGGAGAAGTTAACAGGAGACTAAAGAATAAAACATATCTCTAACACCATCGTGTGCTAGAAGAAGAAGTCATTCAAGTAAGATTTTATTATTAATGCCACAGCAAAGTTAAAGAAGACAGATGGAGAGTGTGTATAATGTTGATAGAGCATTTCAGGAAAAAAAAAAAAAAAAAAACACATTTGTTTCAGAGTAAACTGATAAAATCCTACATAAATAAGAGCTGATAGTTTAGAAAATGTATTTAAAAAAAAAAATCTTAGTTGATTCCTAGTTGACTCCACGTTTTTCACATCATCAAGGGAGTTGTTTCTATCAGGAGGAACAGGAGATTCTGTACAAAGATGAGGAATGTTTGAAGTGTTTTCCAACACACACACACAAATAGAGAGAAGTCTTCTTAAGTAAAAAATACTTATAAAATACTCTATATGTCTACCCCTGAAAATCCCTCTCGTTCTCTCATCAAAAATGGTGATTTTTAAATTATTCATGATCTTTCTTTTTGATCTGACCTGCACATAGGTACAGAATGAAAAGTGACTTCCTCAATGATAAAAGAAATGTTGATATATGTGGTATTAATTTAATTTGTCTTAATTTTTATTAATGCACAAAACTAAGTATTTTACATAAAATATTAAATGTAAAGGACTGATTACATAGGTATTATTTCCCTAGTCCCTATAATGCAAAATATTCATAACTCTTTTAACTGACATTTACTTCAAAAAACACATCCAACCTTAGCTAAAGACCTGATCCAGACCTGATATGAAATCTTTGCCAGATTTATTTTAAACTTTGCATTTCACTTGATTAATCACATAAATGTAGATTCTTTGCTATCTGCTTAAGAAAACAAAAAAATACATCGAAGAAAGAGCTATACTCTCCTTATTTGTATATTCACAGATAAAGCAGTTTTCTTAGAGTAAGAAATTTGCTTTTCATCTTGCATTTGCTTTCCTGTCACATCTAACACATTTCAAAATTCAATTTTTTATTTTAATGGTCCTAACTTAATCTATTTGAAATTCAGCTTTTTTTTTTTTTTTTTTTTTTTTTACTGATAACTTAAGAACTACCACAAATTAAACAGACTAATAAGGTTTAAAGTAGATTCCAAAGAAATCCTCTCCACACCGTCATCCAGTGGTCTAATGTGTAATATTAATAGTAATATCCACTAAATATAGAGATTTCTTTTTTTTTTCAAAGTGATTTGCTTCAGTCATTAAAATTTCACCTACCTTGTAATCTCGATGAATCTAGCTGTTGTCAGAAAGGCTGGATTGCTGCATCAAGGCTGCACAAGGAAACACATGCTACAATGGCTTCACTAAAGAAAAACTGCAAAGAAAAAATGAAATTCATATGAATTTTCAGTGTACTTTTTCTCCTCTTTTTAGTGAGAGGCTCACCTTTAACACATCATTTTATTGTATACAAAATAAGTAAACCTAGTCAAGTAAACCAAGTGAGTGTCTTAGTACTACCAGAATGATACATATTTTAATGAATTAATGTAGAGAAATTAAAAAAATGAGAAAAATATTCTGAAAGAAAGACTGCAGAAATTATATTTCTTTATATTCCTATTTATAATTTGTATATATATATAATATTTAGTAATAATATTTACTATATATACACACATATAATATATATATAATATATGCATATATATTTGTACACATATATACATATATACATGTATATATATAATATATACATATATATATACTTGTGTATATATATTTATTTTCGCATGTGACTATGAGATTGTCCTGGGAGAATTTGTGTACATACTCTTCATTGTTTTAGTGGAGAATATAAATATTAAAGCTATAAAAATGCAGGACAAAATTTTAATTATGCTTTTCAAAAACTAGAAGAACAGCTTTGAAGAATAAATCATGGTTGCATATATTTTTTTTTTTTTCTCATGTATATGATGAAATATTCTTGTGGGATAACCAACAGACACACGCACACAGTCAACTGAGGGCTATAAAGCTGACTTGTAGTCAGCAGTTCTTTTTCAGCTAAAAAAATGCCAGTGTTGTTAAAAGTGGGAGATACTATGTAACTACTGTTTCTTTAAAGTTTAAGAAAATCAGAACAAAGCTTTCTAGGGAACTAAGCATTCTATTAAAGTTAAAACAGTCATTGTGAATACTGACTTACCTCAAATATTCTGTTTTTTACATGTATTTTTTTTTCAAATTGCACATAAATAGTATTATCCATATAAGTTGTTTCTATCTTTACAATTTGCTAAAAAAGATTCTTTATATCTTTCTTACAGAATTCCTTTTTTTTTCTTCAACAGAAAAAAAAAAAAAAAAAAAAAAAGTGTCATTTCAGGACTTCTCCATAGCAAAAGCCTCAGCTTTTGGTTTTAAGCTTGGTTTTAAGGAACCAAGAGGTTACAGGGTAAGTTGCTCTTTATCATTCTGACTGTAAGTAGTTACCTTTGCACTATGACATGATGCCTGAAGCAAAACTGGAACATGAAAGCATACTGCTATAAATACTGCTGTATAGATCCCGTAATACAACACAGACTTCCCCATAATAAAACTGTTGCGTACACTGCACAGTTTGAAAACTCTGGAAACTCTTGAAAATAAGGCTTTAGAATTAAAATGGGATCGTAAGTCTTTAAGATGTCATCCATCGCATGACAGCTATTCACTCAAGACTGTATTTATTTTCTGTCAGCTCAAATCAACCAGAAACTTTCAGCAGGCTGAAGTATTACAACCTTGGCTGATCCCAGATGATAGGATACATTTAATTTTTATTTTCCTTATGGGAACACTTGATACTGCAGAGGATTTTAATTCTTAAAAAGTAAAAATGTTTAGGGAAAAATCCCTTCAAATTCTTTTTAAAAACAGCTTTTTGGGCCACAAACTTCCTAGCCAATCTGCAAACAAAAACCAATAAGGCAATGATGTAACAAAATTTAATGAATTTTGAATACTCTAAAAAGGGGCTAGGTATCTTTAATAGATAAAAATCTCCAGGCCTTTTATTTCTTCTGTGACATCAATCTTTATCTTGACTTGCTTATTAAACCTTTTCTAATCAGCACTTTACTATCAGCATCTAACAAAGTAGGTTAGATTTCTTCAGGTAAGTCACTCACTAAGAATGCAGAATACCGTTCCTCAAGAAGTAAACAGTTCTAGGTGGCATGTTACAGTCTCAGACTTTAAAAAAACTAAAGGTTTCACAGAATCATTGAATGGCTGAGGTTGGATGATCTCTAGATGATCTAGAGATCATCTAGTCCAACCCCTCTGCTCCAGTAGGGACATGCAGAGCACGGGACACAGGGCGGCATCCAGGTGGGTTTTGAAGATCTCCGGAGAAGGAGACTCCACAGCCTCCCTGGGCAGCCTATTCCAGGGCTCTGTCACCCTCACAGGAAAGAAGTTCCTCCTCAAATGGAGATGGAACTTCCTGTTTCAACTTGTATCCATTGCTCTTTGTCCTATCACTGGCACCACTGAGAAGAGCTTGGCCCTTTCCTCCCTACATTCCCCTTTCATGAACTTATACATGTTAATCATATCCCCTCTCAACTTTCACTTCTCCAGGCTAAACAGGTCCAAGTCACTCGTCTCTCGAGTCTTTCCTCGTACAATAGGTGCTCCACACTCTTAATCATCTTTGTTGCTCTCTGCTGGACTCTCTCTAGAAGCTCCACATACCTCTTATGCCAGGGAGCTCAGAACTGCATACAATACTCCAGGGATGACCTCACCAGAGTTGAGGAGAGGGACAGGATCTGTTCCTCCACCTGCTGGCAACACTCCTTCTGATGCAGGCCAGGACACCATCGGCCTTCTTGTCCACAAGGGCACACTGCTGGCTCACAGTTAGCTTGGTGTCAACCAGGACTCCCAGGTCCTTCTCTGTGGGATTGCTCTCCAGCAGGTCAGCCCCTATTCTGTACTGGGGCCTGGGTTTATTCCTCCCCAGGTGCAGGACCCTGCACTTGTCCTTTTTGAGGACATCATGAGGTTCCTCTCTGCCCAGCTCCCCAGCAGGTCCCACTGAATGGCAGCACAGCCCTCTGGAGTTTCGGCCACACTACCCAGCTTGGTATCATCCAAAAACTTGCTCAGGATGCACTCTGTGCCCTCGCCAAGTCATTGATGAGCAAGTTGAACAGCACTGGGTCCAGTACTGACCCCTGGGTGACACCACTGGCCACAGGCCTCCAGCTGGACTCAGCTCCACTTATAACCACCCTCTGAGCTCTGCCATTCAGGTAGCTCTACATCCACCTCACTGTCCACCTGTCCAGTCCATGCTTTTGGAGCTTTCCTATGAGGATATTATGGGAGACAGTGTCGAAAGCCTTGCTGAAGTCACAGTAGACAACATCCACTGCTCTCCCCTCATCCAGATGGCCAGTCATTCCATCATAGAAGGCTATCAGGTTCGTCAACCTGACTTCCCCTTGGTGAATCCAAGCTGACCACTCCTGATCACCTCCTTCTCCTTCACATGACTAGAGATGCTCTCAAGAATGAGCTGCTCCATCACCTTCCCAGGGAAGGAGGTGAGGACCTGGACCAAGAAGGCCAATGGGATCCTGGCCTGCATCAGGAGGAGTGTTGCCAGCAGGTCAAGGGAGGTGATTCTGCCCCTCTACTCAGCTCTGGTGAGGCCTCACCTGGAGTACTGTGTGCAGTTCTGAGCTCCCTGGTATAAGAGGGATGTGGAGCTTCTTGAGAGGGTCCAGAGAAGGGCAACCAGGATGATTAAGGGAATGGAACATCTCTCGTACGAAGAGAGGCTGAGTGAGCTGGGCCTGTTTTCTCTGGAGAAGAGAAGGCTCAGAGGGGATATGATTAATATGTATAAGTTCAGGAAGGGAGAATGCAGGGAGGAAGGGGACAAGCTGTTCTCACTGGTGGCCAGCGATAGGATGAGGGGTAATGGCCACAAGCTGAAGCACAAGAAGTTCCGTCTCCAGGTGAGGAGCAGCTTCTTTACAGTGAGGGTGACAGTGCAGTGAACAGGCTGCCCAGGGGGGTTGTGGAGTCTCCTTCTCTGGAGGTCTTCAAAACCGGCCTGGATGCCACCCTGTGCCACATGTTCTAGGTGTGCCTGCTTGAGCAGGAAGGTTGGACTAGATGATCTCTAGAGGTCCCTTCCAACCTTGAATATTCCGTGATTCTATGATTCTGTGACCTGTAGTTTCGTGGCTCCTCCCTTTTGCCCTTTTTGTAGATTGGAGTGACACTGACTTTCTTCCAGTCCACCAGCACCTCCTCTGCTCTCCATGACCTCTTGAAGATGATGGAGAGTGTCTGAGCAATAACCCCCATCAGTTTCCTCAGCAATCTTCGGTTCATCCCATCCAAGCCCATTGGTTTATAGGTGGCCAGTTTAAGTAATCCCTTACCCAATCCTCCTCGACCAGTGGAAGGTCTTCCTCTCTCCCATTTCTCTCTTTTACCTGGGATCTGTAGTTCACAGGGACTAGCTTTAGCAGTGAAGACAGAAGCAAAGAAGGCCTTTGCTTCTCTTTGCTAACTCTGCCTTCTCTGCATCCTCCTTCACCAAGGCACCCTCCCCCTATTCAGCAGCGGATTAACATTCTCCCTCGTCTTCCTCATTGTGTATCTGCATTCTCTGACTGCACCCATATTCTTCCCATTATCCCTGGCCCTTCTTCCACATGCTATATGTTCTCTTTTTCTCATTCTCTTTTTCTTTCCAAAATATATAACACAGGTTAAGCTCACTAGGTAATACAATAAACACATTGTTTTATTAGCACACCAATATTTTGCTCTTCAAATAACATAAGAACAAGAAAATTAGAACTAGTGAAAGAGTCGTGATAATGACAAGAGACTACTCAGGTACCCTTTTTAATCCAAATTTAGTCATAAATATAAATAGTCCTTCTAAAAAATAGATTTTAAGTTCAAAATTTATTAATTTGTAAAAACACAATAATTTTTCCCAGACTAAAATTACATTAAAATCAGAATTTGTCATGTTCTTGCATGTTCTTAGATCTTTCTCTCTCTCTCTCTGCACGTATGGTATTTATGTATATATAAATATATATATTTATATATATATATGTTTGAGACCTCCAAAAATATATTTTTAATATAAAATCGATAATAATATAATTAATAATAATTTTATAATAATATAAAAATTAATAATAATATTTAATATAAAATATAAAATAAATTATAATATATAATATAAAATGTTTGAGACCTCCAAAAAGTCAGATTTAATCACTAAAAATTACACTTGACCGGGTATGATACAGGTCTTCTTAAAAAGTCATCAGATCCTCCAAA